GGGGTTCTGAGATGACGTCTGAGAGGAGAGTGAGGAAGGAGCCAGCTTCCAAACTCGGGAGGCCTGCCTGCCCCCGGGGGGGGCCGCGTCCAGCAGGTCCCCGGCAGAGTTGGGGGAAGGGTACCCAAAAGCCATTTGACCACACTGTTTTACAGCCTTGTCCCTCAGCCACATCCCAGCTGCAGCTGCGGCTCATCCACAGGCTGACGACTCACACCTGTAATTCATTCATAAACATTTATTTCTATCTAAACCAGCAAGTGAGCGCATCTCTCGGCGGCGGGGCGCGTGCTGCGCCGGGCACTGATCCACTTTGTGGGTTGGCACCAGGAGGCTGGCTGTGGAATATGGACGGCCCTGTCTGAGGGAATTAAGTGCCCCGAGCAGTTGCTTCCTTGCCTTTTTCCAAGGTGGAAAATCAGCACCTGTCCCGTGCAGATAAGGTTGGCTCAGGAGCTCTGCCTTCTCCAGCGTAGAAGAAAGATCAGACCTCCCTAGGGGGCTCTTGTGTGGAGCAACATACCAGGAGGATGAGGATGATGACAGTTACAATAATTGTAAGAGCAGCTACCATTTATTAAGGAGTTTCTGTGCTCCAGGGCCTGTACTAAGCAGAGTAGAGAAGGCCCATCTTCTCTTCCTCAGGGTTAGGTTCTGAAGTCAGCACCTAAGAGGCAGAAACTTGTATTTAGCCAAAGTCCTCTTGATGGCCCCTTAGATTGTCAAACAAGTTTAGGGCATTTGGTTGGGTTATGTATTAATAGAATCAGGACCAATATGACTTTGCACAAATGTATTATCAGTTTCTGTCCCAGCTCACTCTCAGGCTGGGACATTGAGCGGAGGGATGGATAGAACCCCTCAATTTTTTGGATGGTTTCTCTCTTATCCTCTCTTTCCTCCTCTTTTGGCCAAACACATAAATGTCTGAACTCCCCTAAGTGCTCCTTTAACGCAGCCCACTCTCTCTCTGCCTTCATGCTCACAGCGGCCTTCCAAGGAGTTTGTACTTTTCCTGTTGTGTTTTTACAGAGGAGGATACTGAGGCTCAGAGAAGTTTAGACAAATCCCTGAGGTTGCACAGCTTACAGATTGTGAAATCAGAGTGCGAGCCCTAGACAGGCCCACTCCAGAGTGCTTGAATCATAGAGTGAGAAGGCAAGAGACCCCTCTCCCTGTCCCTCCCTCCTCGTTAGGCCCCTGTAGCTGACTGTGCTTGAGTTTCAGACCCAACTAATAATCCAGCTATTACCAACTTGGGCCTCACTTCTAAAAATAAGTGTTTCAACTGGTCCGGCCCTGAAATTTAACAGCCGATATAGTATGCACATTAAACACCAAATGATTGTTAACATATTTATTGAAGCTTAACAGGCATCCAGTATATAAAAGATGACTCTCTTATATAGCTGTCAGACCTCAATAAACATGTTTAATAATTAATTGGCATTAAGCAAACATAATTGTGTGATTCTAAATGAAGCGTTCAGTGAAGCGTATTGTGAAGGGAAAACCACAGTGGTGTTTTATTACTTAAAGTTCAGGCTGTCAGTCTGCCTTTTCACATCTCAAGAAAAATACCCTCTTTTCAGCCGGGCCTCCCATTGCCTTATGCTGAAAGGCGGGAGCTTTCTTTTTCACCAATCCTTACTGCTGAGATGTGTTTCTCACTTGGCCTGCCCTCTGTCTTTCTGTCTATCCACTTTTGAGGTTCTGATGTCCTGAGCTAGGAATTGTGTGAGGTTAAAGGTGTTTTTGCACATCTGTTTTCAGCTGAATTAACCAGGTCTGCTATGAATGCGTTCCGTGAAGTCATCGCGAACACCGAACTGTTGCTCCTAAGAGAAATACCAGGTTAGGTTCCTGCGAGCCTCTGAGCACGTTTTTATCAACTCATCAGTCATAACCTTGTGTTATGGGTCCTTCTGCTTAAAGTCACCTTACGTAATGTTAAAACATATGGTGAGTTCATGAACATTGAACCTGTGAGTTCA